TATATCGTACATGCTTAAAAAATAATAATATTTGATGTGTGAGGATTTTGTAATGAAATATCAATTGATGTGATATATTGAGATTTGATATAAAGCTTATTATTTGAAACCAGTCTGTCTATCATTTAGAACACTTTTAATCGCGAAAATTGATTGATAATCTTTCACGTGTAATATATTCCGAATTTTTTAAATAAAAAACATTCGAAATTTGATTATAAAAGTCGGGCAAATGAAGATAGACATCGGGGATTTCATCGGAAGTTACAAATTGACGCGTCGACAAATTGGCAAGAATTACACTTAACTCGATTTGTCCGGTCTGTTCCGGATATGGCGTTTGCATTAGAAAGCAGCCCTAGATTCCGTTTGCACGTACTAATAGTCGGTGATGGGACCGAAGCTTAAACTGTAATTATATCAGCCGACTGTCGCCGTTGAACGTTAAAGCTGCTTCCATGTCCACATGCAATTTATTTGCCGTTCTCATGCGTAATTGAATCATTTCTGGCTTAGTAGTTTGACGAACGATGTAACGCCGATATCCGACTGAAGATGTCCAATGCGATTTAAATCATGATGCACGTTGATACGATATTATATGATTCATTTGACGTCGAGATTTGGATGCGGCGCGCGCTTCAATTTCGCTATGATTTACTTAACACATCTGAAAGCGTTGTCTAGGACAAAAATATTTTTATTCTGTTATTACAATTTGTTAACAAAAGACACTGCAATCATCTACCTGACATATTTTTCTAAAAATGAACATTTTAATTTTAATTCTCGGATGCATGAGAGATTTTAAAATTTTACACTATTTAAATTTACTTCAATTTTTTTCATATAGTTAGTTTTTAAAAAACCTTACACGTATCTTTCATTGTTATTTAACTTAAAATTATTCTTTTAAGTTTTTGTGAATTTATTAGTAAGTTATCCAAGGATTAAGCAGGATATTTATTTTTTTTTCATTATATTTGATATAAAAGTCGAGGTAACTGAATTTAAAACAATATAATTTTTTTAAAGCTTTGTTGAAATAGTATTTTTCTGTTTTGTAAAATTTTAATATGAAATATTCTGTTATCTAAAATGTAGTAAGCTTTATTAGTATCCTTTACTAGTATTAAATAGTAAAAAATATTCTTTTCAATTACTTTTGATTTTATTAAATCTTACTTGCTTAAAGATTTCTTTAAAGTTTCAATTTAATTTAAAAAAAATTATTTTTAAACTCTGTATTATTTTTGCGCATCAAATATGGCAGTAATAAAAAATCTGGTAATAAAATTTGTTTCATGCGCAACAATAAGAAGCTTATTAATATTTTTTATTTAAGTAAAGCACGATAAAATACAATTTAAAATTGTATTTAACATACGTAATTGTGCAAACGATAGCTGTTTTATAATTTTTAACTTTTATTTTCCACGTAACGATTTAAAATGGTAAGAATTTTTAGAAGTATTTTATATTATTTTATTTTGTATAATATCCTTATTTATATTATACCTTTTATTAATTAAAATAACATAATATCTTTATATATTTTGACAATATTAAAAATACATTATATAACATACATTACACGTGTCGTACAACGCGTAATGTAATGTGCAGACATAATTCGTCGACCGCCGCGCCGAGTGGACGCGAGACTTGTCACAACAGCGAACGGGAGCGGGTACTCAATTGGACGTATCCTGTGCCTGAATGGTAATGGTCAACGACAGGTCAAAGGCAACCCGCGATACCCCCTCTGGTTTAAAGGACAAAGGAAACGCAATTCTCTCATGCAATTTCCTCGCTGGCGCCGAATGAAGTGCCGGAATTTGGCACTTCAAAGACCGCAGGAGTGGCATTGTCATTCCAGTGGTATCTACTTTTCATTCCCTTCTTGTTAGCTTTTTGTCGTGCCCTATCGATCGCACGGTTATACCTCACCTGGCTCGTGAAACATGAGACTTGAGATTAGTCAATAATATAATAGCTTTTCTTTTTATAAACAGACCGTCCGCGATAATCATATAGTGAAATTTCTTTTTCTATAAACGATAATTTTTATTTCAAAAATTAATTTTACATAATTGATTAGCTCTTTATTAAAATATTGTCGTTTGTATGTATTTTTTTATTAGAAAATTATTCTTTAAATTTCCCACGAATTTTACTCGAAACAAAATTTTCATAGAATTAGCCCTTATCTTTTTACCCATTAGTTTCATTTCACTGCATGTTGTTAAATTTTCTACCGATTAATACGTACCGTTAAATACATTTATCGAATGGGAATATCGCTGGGAATTGGTAGGATATATTAAAAGCAAAATAGAATTGTGTTCCGCAATACACCATCTTTTCCCCTGTATATTACAGGCAAAATGCAGATAAATGAATAATAGAAATATAATTTCACGAGATTAATGGCAGATACATGAACAATCAATTCAATCAAATCGTCCGATATATAATCGGGGCTTCATTTCTTGACAATTTAACACGCTTTAATCGAGAGTTATTACTTGGTTACGCGCGATCGTACCGCGCCACGCCGGCGAATTTCGACGCGGCGATCTCATTATTTTGTTGCGACGTGCGTATGATATCGAGGCCCTTTCAGGCAAAATTGATTACCGCAGTAATCTATCCTTGTCCGACGGATGGACGAAGGAGGGGTTACAGATTGCACGCGCGTTACTCTCTTCAATCATTTGCTCTCTCTTTCTCTCTCCTCCCTCTCGTCTCGTTTAAACGATCGGGCCCGATTTTTAACTTTCGAACAAATTCCGATCGTATTAATTGCTCCTGCGTTATTTCACCGGTACAACGCCGGTGCGCGTAGCATTCATCGTCGGAGGGGGGAGGGAAGTAAAGGGAATTAATTCGGATCTCGTCCCCCCTCTCTCTCTTTTTTTTTTGGCGCCGCGCGACCGCGGCAGTTTGACGGCCTCTGACAAACGGCTAACCACGCTGGATCGACATAGCTGTTGAGTTTACCCTGCAGGCAGGTCTAATTGTGATCGGCCGACAGTGGCCGCACTGACAATTACACGGCGACATTTCTGTTGACGCGCGCCGATGGTTATCATTAAATTCGACTCTATAATTGCCCGCGTTCGCAAACGGCGCGAGGAAAGAGCAGCCCGGAATGAACTGGGTCGTGTCATTTATTGATTTATTGTCGTGACGGATCATCGCAAAATTTCATCTCTGGCATGTTCATTTCGCGTGAAAATGTTTATGAACCCACCTCGACATAAAGTATTACGTATATAAATAGCGATGCGTTACTTTTTATTATGAAGGAAGATACCGCGTCCGATAGCTATTGTTGCCAAAACAGCTTTTAATTCGACCATCCATCGCTGCTGTTCGTCAAACAGCGTTTTTGCACCCTGCAAGCTCCCAAGATTTCTTGTGAAATAATAACCACGGTTACCAGCGTAGCCGCCAGCCGCGAGTCTAATCGCTCTTTTGTTTGCCGTATTACGAGCACAAATATTCCATTTAAGCCGCAAGCCTCGCGAACGGAATTTCCAAACGGAATCGCGAGGCGCATCGCGATTGCGCTGGCATTATGCAAGCAGATGCAATAATGATAAGCACATTTGCGCTACACTTTTATACTTCCATATTTTGTTCTGCTTTTAGAATTCTTACTTAATATTAGTAAAGTTACTTAAAGTACTTAATATTAGTGAAGTTAATATTATTAATGTTATTAATGTAAATCCACATATCACGGAATTGTAGAGACCGCGCTTTTTTCCTCAAATAAACTTATTGGGGATACGAAGTAAAATTGGTTGTTACAGCATCATATAATTTCTGATCCATAAACAATCGAAAAGTAAAGATCTAAGTGCAAAGTCTGGCTTAAATTCGGTTTTCGATTTCTATTTAAATCATTTTTTTTTGTCAATACTAATATTTTGTAACGGCAATCTTGAGAATTCTTGCTGTATCTTTAATATCGTCTAACATGACAGGTTATCAGATATTGATCTTCCGAGGACTCTCGTAATCCGCACGATCTGTTCTCGGCGTTACGCTATTCTTGCATTTCTCCGTAATCGGCCTGGTTCTGCTCAGGTCACCGCGAGGGTTGAGCAAGGGGATAAAGGTGGAAGAAAGGGTAGTACCCCTCTCTCTTCACCAACTGGGATACAATTTCGCGGCATTAATGTTGTAGGAGCGTCAACCGCGAACGGTCGGTGCGCCGAGAACTCTAGCTTTCCCCTCTCTATAGACAAACCATCCTGTACTCGACCCGTTTCCGCGAGGAACGAAATTGCACGCGAAATTTGTACTACCCGCGGATGGAAGCCATTCTAGCGGACGACATACTTTTTGAAGAAAACTTAATTTCGTACAATTAGAGGCCATATATATTTAATTCGGAAATTGAAATCATTTTTTTTACAAAGTTATGTAAAATTATTCGTATTATGCATAATCGCATAGATAATTTGTAGATGGTTATATATGATATACATCTAAAATTTTTGCATACAATATTCTGCAAATCATTGAAAGCGAAAAAATTCGCGTAAAAAGAAATTCAAAATTCTTAATTTATCTGTTGAAATATACAATAATACATTTATTTATTTCCGCAGAGTTGTAAACTTTTCGACTCTAAATGAAATCTGTCATTCGCGACGATGAAAATCTATAAAATTATAATCGGTAGAAAGTGTCGAAGCCGTTCATAATTTATACATTGCACGAATACTGGGTGCATCTGTTGTACTTACATGCCCGCACTTACGTATACCGTGGGATGCAACGTGATCTGTGACAGGTATAAATAACGTATCACGCAATTCTGTGTACGTGCACGCGATACGGCCGCATACAAGCGGGTTTCCTCGGTGTACACCGCGTACAATACATATGCGTCGTACAATGGTGGCGATATACATCGGCGGTATTCGGCGCGTGTATCCATATTAAACGTACATATTTGCGTGTCCCCGGCTATATGTACTTACTATTCCAGGACTGTTGAATTGGCAGGGCAGCAGCGCGTTACCGCCGGTTTGTGCTAAAACATCCTTGATGAATTTCGGCCTCGCGCGAGGGTCGACCGGGTCGTTCTCTTTTGTCGATCCGCCTCGTTCGATTGCGCAGTCTGTAAAAAATTTTGATAGAGAGATTTTTTTACACACGTTTTACTTTTAGAAATCAATTTACGGAGATTTACTTTTAAAATGTTATTATTGACGTATACTCGGAGTGATTTGTAAAATTAATTAAAAATTTTAGTTCGAATTTCGATGACACAGTTACGTAAATTAGATCAAGAAAGGAAGAGAGATTTCTCTCTCAAATCAAGTAACCATCGTTAAATCCTTAGCAATCTCTTAATTCTCTTAATTGTTCTACATTCATTAGCTGGAGATGGCTGTCAAATCCGTTTTTAGTTTTAACGAGCTGTTAGTTTTCAATGGATAGTTAATAGAACGTTCGTTAACAGAAGAATTCGGTAAAAGTTCACGTAGAGGTGGCAGTTGGAAATAGATTTTGAAGTGGAAGAGGGTCAAGAATACATTGAGTGTCCTAATCATTTTAATTCGAAAGTTGAAAAACGGATGTTATTTGATAAAAAAAATTTTTATTTAAATCTACAAAGTATAATTAATTACTAATTGGATAAAAATTTGTTAAAAATTCAGATTTGTGTCACAAAATATTGAAAAAGGATCATTTTTATGTCCCTGCGCGATTACAGAAATAATTTTACTTTCTGTAATGAAATAAAACTCTTATCGTATAGGTAACATGATCGAATATCGATCGTATATTGAGAAAATAAATTTCTCTATATTCGGAAAATTGATATTTTTAACATTTTGCTCTCTACCTTCATTAAATTAATAATAATTTCCAATAACGTGTGCGTTATATAATCAGCGCGAACATCTTTCTTCCGTTGGGTGTCGCGTTTCCATTTTCGTAACACTCGAACGGAAAATGATTATTGCCTAAAAGCATGATTAATATAATTATCATATTTAGTAACGCGCGCAAATAATAATGGCTTATTTTTAAACGCGCCCGTATAATACTTGAAACTTGACACATGCTATTTGTTTTATTCGTTGAAATTATGATGTTATTCGAATACACAATACAAATATAATTCGAAATATTAGATCCACGTGTAAATACACTCTGAGTGGCGAGTGTGTGCTGCATGTGTTTCTACTACAATTTCATTGTTAATGAATAGCGAGCATCGTGCAATTATCGTGCTCTTTCAGCGGTAGAATTTACAATGATTTCTCTTCAGCAAGATGTGCATTTTTAATGCAATTTAAATTTGCATGATACTTTTAACGCTTTGTGTTGGCTCGCATCAAAGAATTTTAGCGAAAAAAAAATTATATTTCAAGGATATTAAAGGATTTTTCATAGAAACGACCCTCCCCCCTTTCTCTCAATTTAAATGCGATCTTGCCTCAACAAATTTAACGCGTGGCTTAATTGCCACAAGCTTAGCGTGGAAAATTACAATTAGCTCGGGTTAAAATTTAACCCGGTTCCAAGCTAGCCTGTGGTCTCGCTTTGTTCAGTGTTAGGCGTCGCCAACATCTGCGTTTACCTCTTCATTATTACAAGAAGTCATCTGAGCAGTCAGCGCGTGCACGTGTTTGAACTAAAGCGTACGAGGTTCTCTCTGGCTTTCCCTCTGGCGTTTACACCCTACATTCAATATAGACCGAGGATATTGGAGATTACGTTACCATACATGTGTATGATTAGTTCAGATTAGAGCCGACTGAATCGGTAATGGCTGCGTCGCGCGTATTGCGTACATCCATTCGATCGCGCGCGCTCGCATGTTCGATTCCCGCGTTCTCACGCGTCCGCGCACGGCTACAAACAATGAATAAAGAGAGACGAGAGAGAGAGAGAGAGAGAGAGAGAGGGGGGGGGAGAGGAGAGGGAGAGAGAGGAAATTACATCGGCGCATCGCTCGCAGCAATCTCAGCGTTGTAATCCGTAACAGCATATTAAAATCGCTGGGTGAACGGTCATTTGTATGTCGGCGCGATATCGATTCGCGCACGCTCTCGATCGAATATTTATAATAGGCATTTATAATGGGCGCGCGCGATATCATGTCGCATTGCGAGCGTAATATTGTCGCATTATGAACATAAAGCACGTATCAAATATCGGTTCGCGTTATTGATATCGAGGGAGATACTGATGACGAGGAGGAGGAATTCGCTGAAATTTGTATTGTACTTGTTGAAAAATTCGAGATATTATTATAGGAATTAAGAAGTAACTGCGTTGATCTTAAATTGCAAAATTTCGTACAAATGAAATCCTGATGAAGCAAGAAATTTTAATTATCTCATTGGGTATATACGTTGTTAAAAAAGAGCAAAAATACTTGATGAAACATGATTAAATCGTGAAAAGACTTTAAAAGACTGCAAATCCAAGTGTGTAAAAAATGCCTCGTCGGTGTAAAAATAATACGTTATACTGCATAAAAATATTTTAAAATTAAAAAAATATAAATATGTTATATTTTTACATGGATGAGGTATTTTTTATATATTTGGAGTTGCAATGTGAAAGCGTTTGAAAGAGACCGTTTGATTATCTCTTTATTAACACTTCTTTCTTTTCAGAAGATGATCGCTGGACTGTCGATATCTATCTCGTTTGGCCGTGACTTTCCTGCTTACTCGGAGTTGACTTTAATACACGAGTGTCAAGGCGCGAATGGGATCGAACGGACACGGAGGATGAATCGACGAAGGTCCAGTGGGTAAGTGTCACAAGTTTGTCCTGCGTCCGTTCCGAGGAATAGCCGAAGTTTCTCCGCCACGTGAATCGATTTTCCACGCTGTCATCGTTGTGCGTACGATAGACTTTTCCACGATTGACGTCCATCAGTCCCACGGAAATTCGGTTGTGTTTCACCATTTACATCTCGCGGATCGCTTCCCAACAAGAACAACGACGCGATGCGTCCGTTCACGCGTTGTCGGGCAACTCGTGGAGCAAGTTTACCTCGCTGGTCGCTTCCGGGCCGGTTAACGCAGATCCTTGTGTGTGTGTGTGTGTGTGTGCGTGTGTGCGTGTGTGTGTGTGTGTGTGTATGTAACGACTTGGCGCGAGCACCGAAGCACGTCGTAAACCGAATTGCGTCGACGCGCGGTCCGAGAGAATATTATACGGCGTTGACGTGGGGTTTGCCAGTGACGCGTGTGGCCATACCGAGCACCGCGGGATCGAGATGTATCCCGGCATCGAGGTGCTAGATGGAATTTTTATGACCGAATGTGTTAAAAATATTATCGCGTCGTGGGACGGGCAGTTTTCCCCCGCGGATAGCGCCGGCGGGCTCATTCGGAATGTATTGGACAATGCCTACGACACCGGCACGCGCGCGCGTTACGTATGTCCCAGTGATAAAGTATTCCGAAAATGTGGTGATTCCTATCGGTTATGGAATACCGGTAGGAGACGAGTAAGCTTGAGAAATAAATCGTTTTTCATGATGTATTTCTCGCACGGTCATCAGGTATGAAAGAAGAGAAGGAAACGCCAAGTCAGTATTCGTTTTTCTGGTATACTTCCTAAAATTTTCACGCATGTCACGTGAGAGCTAATTTCGACTCTTGCAGTCGCCTTCAGTTCACACGTTTACGGCATTGTGAATTTTACATTAACCAAACGCGGACGAAAATGGTATTTAGCTATTGTTTAAAAGATATAGCACACCGCGAAACACTGTAGACAGGCATTAGGGAGCGTAATTACTCTCTTGCGGGTAATTCCCGAAGTGTATGCCGCAAATATAGACTATAGCTGTGATGCTATTGGAAATTGCCGTGTTGAGTCCCGCAGTGTTCAGAAAGTACGAAGCGCTTTTAGATATACACGCTGCATTACATCGCCGTTGCGCTTATGCATATGCAGAAACGATAATATGACAGCCCGCGAAGTATTCCCGCGCTCTGTGTATATCCTCTTCTATGAGATTACCAGCTTTCTGGTACACGAGTATGTCGAAACTTCCCTCGTCGACCCGACTGTGTATCTAACTTCGAACCGTGTCGTAAATCGAAAGATACCATGCGCGAAAATGTTGCGTGAAACATCGGCGGGTACACTGTAGCATGACTCAGGGAATTTTCACAGATTGAGAGACATCGTATGTGAGAATCCAAAACGTAAACTGCTTTCTCGAAAAGCATTTAAGGGTAGCGATAAAATTCTTTTTTAGCTCAAGATTTTGTTTCTTTATAGAACAAAAATTAGAATATTCTTTTCTTTTTACAGTTTTATATTTTAATTGCTAGAGTTATTTTAAAAGCGAGAGGAATATATCAAAAATTCTTTTTTGATTGATTTTTGAGAGAAAGATAAAACTTTATCAATTACGTTGAACTTTTAAAAATAGAGAGAAACTGACTGTATGTGATTATATGTGAACCTCCTTCCTGTTTTATTTTTTTGACAATATTTTTTATTTTAATTTTTTTTAGTAATAGAAATGCTAATAAATCTTTAGTAAATTTAAAGTATTATATCTTTTGCATTTATTACATGTGTGCACGAAAATGTATTTTATTTAATATCGATTAATATCCTAGCAAATTTATTCTTCTATTGTTGTCCATTTTTATTCCCCTTTGAGACATTTGCACATTCACGGATTGTCACACATAATCTTCGTAATATCTTCGGATCCAGGTCTAGATTTCGGAATACGTGTAGATGTATTTTATGCTCCGCGTATGTATCAAGTTGACGAGGCCGCGCCGTGATATAGACCGACAGATTATTACACGGATTCTGATGTCACAGGTGTTGCTCCTGGTTGCTTGTCAACAGGTTTGCGCCGTCTGACTCTGTATGCGGTCAACATCGCTAGTGAAGCGTGTACATAAACGTGAAAAGCGATACGCCCCAGATACCACAAATGATGTTTATTTTTCATTATTCAATTAGGATTAGATTAATTACAAGTTGCCAGCTAAACAAATTAAGTTATTATTGTTTAATACAGTCGGAAAAGAAATTTTTCACGTTTTAATAATACATATTAATAATATATATTAAAACGTATGGAGAAACATATGGACTGAAAAACGTGGAGAA